CATTCTCGGAGACTGGCCCCTTGCTCGCTCTCTAGTAAACCGCACACCCTGACACTGTGATCATTCCCCCCGCATAGGAAGCATCGGTCCATCCACTCTACTAGCTGCCGCCGGAAATACTCTGCCTCCTCTGCATCCTTCCTGACGTGCTCGGCCCTGAGCCGCATAGCTGATGCACTCTGCTGCTGCTGCTGCCTGAACATCCCTCGTGTGCTTGGGGTCCCCTCTTCCTCTCCATCACCTGACCCTGGCCCTTTTGATTGCTTGGCACTGGCACATGCATCGCATGCTGCCTCGCCTGCCTCGCATGGCCCCGGCCCTGACCCGTCCATCACCTCATCTAGCAGAAGACGTCGGCAGCTGGATCCTTGCGTAAACGCCAGCATGCCCGTGTCCACACCCTTCTGTGCTGCTCCTCCTGACCCTCCGCCCTCCATTACATCTCTTGGGCTAAGGAGAATGGCCTGGCTTGGCTGCCCATCCCGCCCCGCTCGCCCGCTCTCCTGCACATAGTCCCGGAGCTGTCGCGGGGGCCCCATGTGCAGCACTACCCGCACATCCGGCACGTCGATCCCCAATCCTAGCGCATTTGTTGCTGCAATCAGCCCGCCCTGCTTCTTCCACTGCTGCATCTTCTCCATCTTTGCCTCCTGCGTCCCTATCTTACTGTGGAAGATCTCACATCCAAGCGCTGCCCCGACCCTCTCCACGGCTGCAATCGTCTGCGCGTAGATGATCATACGACCTGGGTTCGCCTGTGCCTCCCACTGTGCTACCATGCTCCTGGCCTGGTCGAGCCCGGGCATGTCGCCATCACCTTCTTCCTTGCCGCTCCTGCCGCCCTGGTGCGTTTCTAGCCCTACTACCGAGTATGCAATGTTCTTCCGCCGCGTTGGGCCGCGGTATATGTACGCCTGGCGCCTCGTGATCTGCGCTCTGTGGAGGAACATATTCTCATCCCTCGGCGGGAGTGTCGCCGTCAGAAACACCAGCTGCACCCCCCATGACTGCAGGATCCCCCCTAGTGCTGCCAACGCTGGCCGGAACCGCCCGACTCCGTCCAGGACCACGTGGCACTCGTCCAAGACCACCCGGTCCAGCAGCTGCCGTACCTGTAGCCGCCGGATGAAGTCCTGGAACCCCTTCGTGATCGCCGACTCGGGCGTCACGAACACCAGACTGGCGATCCGGCTCGGCCCCTGGCTCTGCCATATGTGCGTCGAGATCCCGGCTTCTTCGCACCGCTCGTACATGTCTGTACGCAGTGTAACAAGCGGTATAACCACCACCGTTACCCCATCCGGCGAGCAGTGTGCCGGCAGCATAAACGTCAGGCTCTTGCCCCCGCCCGTGCCTGTAATATACACCACCGGGCTGGCCCCTGCCATGATCGTTCGGATTACCTTCTCCTGCTGGCCCCGGAACGCCGCATCTGGCCCTAGCATCGCCCGGAGCTGCCCGTGTACAGATACCTGCTGTAGCCGGTGGAAGCGCTGGTACCGACCGCTCTCCTGCTGTAGCTCCGCTGCCTCCAGCGTCCGCTTCATCTCTCCGGCCACTGCCCGTCCTCTCTCGTGCGTGTCGAACCCCAGTAACCGATGCCACCGCTGGCTGATCCGCTGGAACCTGATCTGCTGCTGCGCTGTCCCGAATGTCGGCTGCTGGAGCTCTCGCGCATATATCATACCGGCGATGTGGCTCCCGTGCCCTGCCTGGATGTCTAGTATATGGTCTGATGTGGTACCGTTAACATCGTCCTCCTCCTCATCCTCTACACTTCCAGTATCCTCTTCTATACGGAAAGCCTCGTTTAGATAGCGGTTGGCGATAGCAATGGCGATATGCCGCCAGCTGATGATGGTGAGCGTGGTCCCCATGCACCGTTCGCTCTGCCGCTGGAGAATCCGCCGCATATGATCCGGTGACCATACTGACTCGGGCTCTGGTGCCGCCTGTGCGGATCCGTCCGTGTTGGCCGCCCTCTTTATCACCTCGTCCGCCCAGAGAAATACACTGGGTCCACCACTGCGCTGCCAGATGATACCCTGTACCTTCCGCCAGAACGGTAGAACCAACCACATATACCATACCAGCAGAGAACCAACTGCGCGTGGTAGATAGCGGTAGATCACCTTGTTGCGACCGCTGATCCTGATGTTCTTATGGTATGCCGTTACGAAGAATACCATGCCCTGGTTGCAGAAGATGTTGCGTAGCCCGCCATTGGCTGTGTTCCACATCCGCACCCCAGCAATCTCCGTTGCACGCGCCGGCATCGACAGCATGTGCATCAGCAAGAATATCCGCTCCCGGAACTGTAATAATGTATCGGTATACTGGTGAATGGCGCTTTGTTTGAGTGGGTGCTCTTTGTTACTAGCGCTTGTGCTGATCCATGTCTTCTGGAGTGATGTGGACTGCACGAGCTGTTTGAACACCCAGCCATCCCCCGCCTGCAGCCATGTGTTACGCTGGTCATCCTCGAACTGCTCCCATCTGATCTCTGGGAGTCCGTCTACCGTACCTGGGGGGTTTAGCGTTAGTGCCCCGAGCAGCTTCTCCGCCTCTTGCACGAGCGTGTGTAGCATCTCCGCCAGCTGCGGCACCCGGAACCGGATTGTCTGGTAGCTCACGCGATCATCTAACCACTCGATGCTGCCGCTGCCCGGTGTGTTATATCGGATGTTCATCCCGTATGCTCGTGCCTCGAAGATCCAGTCTAGTGGTGTCGGCTCGGCCGTGGGCCCCCCGTGCACCCGTACCATGAACCGTGCCATCTTGCCGCGCAGTATGCGGAACACGCTCTCCGCTTCCTCATAGGCATCATGTGCCTCCATCGCCTGCGAGTGCTGGATCACCTGCGCCTCCCGCTCACAGTATGACTGATATAGCACGAGCATCCGTGCTACCTTGATCACGGCTGAGTAGATCGATGTGTAGTTAAGCACGGACTCCCACCCTCCATCTTGCCGGATGCCCATGACGGCCAAGCAGCTCACCAGCACGTTTCGGTATGCATCCCCCTTCAGTGCATGATCAAACCAGCTGATTAGTAGGGTTAGGCATAGATCCTGTTCATCCTGGCTGGGTTGATCACCCTGCTGCCTATCCTCGCTAGACATAGCCTCGATGAATGTATCCCAATGATCGCCTTGTGCTGTTGTGAAGATGAATGGCGGTCGCTCATCATCAGCCATCTCATCTACACGATAGATGATGCATAGTATCTGTCGGAACACATCCCTATACCGCTTCCAAGTATCCTCCTCCATTCTACTGTTAAATGGCCGATTAGGCTTCCCTTCTAGAGCGGTTCGGGCCACCTCGAATAATGCAGCCTTGCCCACCTTGGCGGCTGTCGCAGTTGCCCGTGCCTGGTTGAGCACATACTCCATCACTTTCCATGCTGACTGCAGTGCTGTCTCCTCCTCCCGGATATCCTGCCTTGTACTGTAGAGCTTGGTAACAGATAGCCCCTGGAGATGCGTTGCCCAGCCAACAAACTCGAGCCATCCGTTGGATTCAAGCCGGTCATCACCAACCTGGATGATCATTCGTGTCTCCTGCGCCTCCTTCGCTGCCTCCTCCCTAAATAGCTCCTGAACTCTTTCAATCGCTGCTTCTGTTTGGCCGGTATGGTCAGGGCTAGCAGTCTCTCCACCTGAGCCAACACGGAACCAGCTGCTCGCAGCCCTTCGGATAAAGAACCGCTGGCAATGCACACCGCTTATCCATGGCTGATCGCGAGCCTCTGCTGCTTTTTTCCTGATGTTACCACCCTTCTTCCAATTACTGATCCATTGGTGTGCTTTCCTGCAATGGTCTCGTATCCCAACCTCTGTACAAGCAATATATGGGCACTGCTTGCATTGCTTCCCATCTGTTCTTGGCGGGGAGATATATGGTACTGGCTCTGCGATATATATTGGTAATGGATATCTACGTAGTTCTTCTTGATCCTGTAGAAGCCCATCTATGGCTTGGATAGCTGCCTTGATTTCTCTTCTCTGGGATATTGTGAATAATGGGTGTTGAGCTTGGAGATGTGTTTCCACTTCCTTGGTAACGCATGCATAACTGCACTGCTTGCAGATAATAAATGGATATTGTATAAGATGGATAAATGGCTCCATTATGTTCAGTATAATACTATAGATTATAAGGTATTAAGGTTGAATATGTTAATAAAGCAGGTTTCGAAGGTAGTAGATAGTGCGGCTGAGGATCTCGATGAGGCCTGGTTTAACTAGGCGTTTGGTTGAGGCCTCACCGACATACCGGGTGAATGATATTCCTGGCGGGAATATCGGAAATATCGGTTAAATACTGGGTAAATAGCTATCTTTTGTGGGTCCCTGATAATTATTGACCAATTAATCAACACATCCTACTCAACACATCCTACCCCCTACTTTTTAGTAGCGCGAAAATTCACCCACCAAATTTCAACACATCCTAGTAGGATGTGTCGTGGAATTACTGTTAGCCCTAGTTATAGCTCCTCTCGGGATTATCGGTTAATTGACCGGGTTGCGTGCGGAAAATAAGCCAGCGGGTAGTAGAAAGCTGCCGCTCATTGTTCTTGCACCGACTAAAGCTATGTCCTCAAATCAAGTCGAGCAGTCTGGGGGTTGTAGTAAGAACGAATATGCTTGGTACCGCCTCGACCCCGGCCTTTTCTTACCCCGGACTTAGTTCAAGGCGATTGCGGGGATGACAGAGCTTCCCCGCAAACGACATTACCAGCCCTGTCCCCAACTCCGCGGGTTAATAACCGCTTCTGGAAACCATTTCCTCGCCAAATTTTCGCGACTGGTAAATCCCTTCGGATAATAGTTGCATTGAAATCTTTAAAATCACATTCAAAATTCCGTTCATAATGAGTTAATTTTCAACCTGTTCAGTAATAAGGCATCAACTGCTCTGACTTTGAACGGCTTGCCTTCTCTCAGTATTCCACAAACTCAACACATAAATTTCTCACTTGCACGATATCCATAATGGCCTCAATACAGCAAGACCAGGTCCAGCTTCATGTAAATGATGGGCCTCTATCCCCTGATCAAGTAGGAGAACTGCAACCCTCCAATCCGTCCGAGCCAATGGGTGTATTGCGGGCCAAGTACGACAGAGACGGCTATTTGTTTCTGAAGGGAATTCTCCCTCGCGAGGAGGTCCTTGCCGCTCGTGAGGCTTATTTCCGAGCTATGTCATCTACTGGCGTACTCGAACCTGGGACTGATCCCGTGGAGGGAATCTTTAACAAATCCGCTGATCCGCTGGATTATCCTAATATCGGAGCTGGAGCCGCAGAAAACTCAAGGCTAGGGACGTCAGAGAAATCGCATAACTTTGAGGATCTGTCAATTCAAGCTCATACGCAAGACTGGTACATCGGTTCGCGGGATGGCAAAATCAAGGGCTTCACAAACAATCAAACTCTACGCGACTTCGTGTCTGAGTTCACCGGATGGGACAACCATATTCTGAGCCTCAAAAGGACGTTACTGCGGAATAATTGTCCAACGAATAGAGCTATTGGAGTACATTACGACCAAGTCTTTCTCCGGTATGGAGAACCAACATCAGTTACCGCTTGGGTTCCTCTAGGTGACATCAAGCTTGATGGAGGAGGTCTCATTTATTTGGAAGGTGGGGAGCAACTTGGGGAGCAGATAGAAAATGAATTTTCCGCTCAAGCAATAGCCGATGGCATGACGGAGGAGGAGATGAAGTATGCCTTCAATAAGAACATGATGAGCACTGGATTTCTGTTTGAAGGGCCCGCAGAATTTAGTCGAACATACAACCGCAAATGGTTGGTGACTGCATACGCAGCAGGCGACGTCGTTTTACACAAGCCCCATCAGGCAAGTAATGTGAAAACTTGAGATTCCTCAATTTACTGATACATTAATAGATTCACGCATCAACCATCAACCATGACCGGGAAGGGCGAATTCGGTTGGGTACAGACTTGCGATATGTTAATTCAGCCCGTAAATTCGATGAGGTACGAACCCCCTTCTTCTTAAACTATGACATATGCTTTCACCAAACTTGCCTCGGATATTGATACCTAATTTACAGAGATGGCTCAACCATTTCCACTTCAATGATGGGCTATGACAGTTTCTGTTAGCAATGATCATGGTTCGCTTCGGCCTTCTTCCTCAGCCCACTGCTTTGTGAGTTGGTCAGCCAGGGGGCTAGTCGTCCATTGTATGAGTTGATTAGCTTTCCTGAGGAAAATCAGGGTTTGCTCTTGGTTTATCTGATCATTAATGCAGTGACCACCTACACAGACTATCAGCGTATATTCCTTACACGAGAGAAGGATACTGCTTACATATGGATAGCATATGCATAGGGAGGAGGAATGAGTCTAATACATGATCATTTGAAAAGGCTATACCCATTATCGTGCACATTCTATCCGATACGAGGTTCTATGAAGCCCAGTCAAAACCAGCGTAGCATCGCAGTGAAGAGGCACTAACATACTCTTAAAGCTGATACCCGACTGGGAAAACTCTCGCTATGAGCTAGATCATGTTCCCTGAGGGAATGTAATTGGTGGATTATATTGGCAGCATAATAATACTGTAATCCGATTACTGGATGTCATTAGAAACGACCGATTAGCGGAGGAGTTCTCTTTGCAAAATTCCTACCTGGAGGCGAACTGAGCATCACAAGGGCAGGGAACTGCGGTCCATTGGGGCTACTAGCAAAAACAGGCGAGAAGGAGAGGGGTTTATTGCTGAACCACCCGTCAATGTCGGTTTGTAATGACGCCCAGGTATCTTCAGTGTCCAGTCGCTCCTTTGATCTAGACGAGTGAAACAACAGCCGTAGTGTTCTAGCAAAGTGATAAACTATTTGATTTGCATATGATGAATCATCTGTGCGTCTAAAGGCCGCTAGGTTTTGGAAGGCGTTGATATGGCGATCCACCGGCCGCCGACGGACAAGATATGCGTAGATAGCTTGCCGGAGATGAACCCAACAGGCAGCCTCTGCCAGACCCCCTCTAGAGGCAATCTGTGCCACTTTGTCATAAGCCAGTAGATCCTTGGTGCCACTTAAATGTAGGTGACTGATATCGGCTTCAAAATCGCATTCTTCATACGAGCGTGTCATGACAACAGCGGCAAGAAGCTCGGAACCATAGGTGGAGGGAGGCTTAGAAAAGCTAGCAATGAGCCATTCGATGCTCTTTTGGTTGTACTGAATAGCCTCTAAATCGGGCGGAACGCTCCTACGGAGAGCATCATATCTACTAGCCAAAGCAAGGATGCTGTTGAGAAGCATCGGCTCTCGTAGAGCGAGTCTTGGAACCGTCAGAGTAAAATGACGATCCTCATCACATGAGTCCATCATGGGGGCAAGCTGCTTCACGTATATCATGAAGAGTTGGCTCTCGCGATGGCTGAGCAACGACTGCGAACTCCTAATTCTTTCGATTCCATTGCTCCACAAAGGTAGTTAGCATGGCGCGGAAAGTAACTCATTACGAGGGCACAATCGATCTTGTATTTTGGGACACTAACCTCAAGTCGGAAATAGCCTCTGTATATCCTCGATTTCCCGTTCCTTCATCATTTTTGGGGAAGTCCACATCGTCTGGCGCCGACTGTGCGGCAAAGGTAAAGATGAATTTGGGAGGAGGGAGACATACGCTTCGAGTCTCCAAACATCCAAAGCATGTGTGGCCACCCTTCGGGAACGCGCATTTTCTATGGCGTGATCTGCATGACTGGCAACCCCGTCGGTGCTTCATTGTGTGGTTTTAGTGGCAGAAAGGCTTGAAATGGAAGATACAGCGAAGAAAGTCTACCGACGTCGCTTTTTTACAAGTGCGGCTGTTTTCCAGTCGTCTTCCGACTTTACGGAACCTTAAGCGAGAATGCGGGGAAGCACACTGTATAGCCATGTGACCGATATTGATCATACCTAATGTACCCCAAGAATTGATTTAGCTTCACATCGCTTGTGGGGAACATAAAAAAGAACTCTCTCGTATAGAGGTTTCAAAGAGTATTTTGACGAGAATAACTGAAGAATATCAACGATTCAATCTGTGAGGAGAACTATGAGCGAAATTTCAAAGGGCCGAAGGAAAGTCCACACACTCTCCTGATGAAATCGACAAACGAGTGGAGAAGAGGACGATATGCAACTAGCGCTCTATTGTTGGGTAGTTGTAAGCTTGGATTCATGTCAAAATGTTTGGGTAAGGTATCATTCGTCTCTGTTGTTGCTGTGTGGGTTCCATCCCCATTCATTTTTTTTGTTTGGGACAAGCCCACCTCCATAGCCAATTCTCTTGGTGTATTCAGCCCTCGGGCACTACGGCACCAAAAGAAAAGCGCCTGCTAGAGTAGACTGTTTGGAGTAAAACAGATTAATATCCTTCCAGGATCATAGAGTTAGCGGCTCCTTGGATTAAATGACGGCTCTGGGTTTCCTTGACCATTAAGTATTCCAATGATGGAGAAATATTACACAATTATGGATTTTTGGATATATTCTCCATCACCAACTTAAGCTAATAGTACATAACTTGGCATAAGCCTCAAAACCGGAATATAGTAGGCCTTGCCGATCAGCACGTAGTCTGTCGGAGCATCTATGTATGATAGTGATTAGCTCCGCGGCACTTTGACCGAAACACTTTTGAGCAATGATCCATAATATCAGGATTGGCACTTAATAGAGATACTGCCTAAAATTTCGATGCTAAGTGAGATAATAATTACAGTTTGACGGAGATCAACTAAGCCGTCGGGATTTGGTGTCCCGCCACCGGTAAAATGTCAGCTTGTGGAGTTGGCCGAAATTTCCGCGAGCGGCGGGCGAGCTGAGGATGAATCTGACACGGTAGAAGTGCGGGTAGTTCTGGTTCGGACTTGGGGGACAGCGAGACCGAGTGGAAGCGAGACCCGGTGACACATCCATCAGTTGTTCTTTATGCTGGAAATAATTAGATATGGTATGTTTTGTATGCTTCAGCTCGGTATGCTTCTGATATTTAAATGCCGTTCCTCCCGACCATCTCCAGTCACTCGACAAACATTATTTTATCTGAGCACTCTTGAATACAGCCTAAGCCTCAGCCCCATTAGTTGATATAACGGCTAACTCTATACACTCAAAGCGACTCGCATTCATCATGTCACCGGAAAAGCCTCTTCTCGTTGTTTGCGGTGCTACTGGTAACCAAGGGGGCTCTGTCATCAACTACTTTCTCTCACAGCCATCAAACGCGTACACCCTCCGCGGCATCACCCGTGACCCCTCTTCCGCTAAGTCCCAAGCCTTAGCAGCGCAGGGTGTCGAGATGGTCGCAGGCGACTTTAGTGACCCTTCGTCCCTTGATTCGGCTTTCAAGGGTGCTGCTGCCATTTTTGGCGTCAATGATTTTTGGGTCTACTTTCGCAACGCCGAGAAGCGTGGCGAGGCCGAAGCTAAAGGGAAAGACTGGGGCGCTCTGTCCAGAGACAATGACACCCAAGAGATCAAGAACATTATTGATGCTGCTTCCAGGGTCCCTACACTCGAGCGGTTTGTCCTTGCTAGCATGGCCAACTCAAACAAGCTCAGTGGGGGTAAGTACGCGGAATGCTACCACTTCGAAGGCAAAGCGATCGCGGAGGATTATGGTCGCGAAAGCCAGCCCGAGCTTTGGAAGAAAACCAGCGTGCTTTATGTTGGATTCTACCTGGAAAACTATCTTGGTCCGATGAGTGCTTTCTTTCTGCCTACGCTGGTATGTTTCCGTCTTCTTTCTTACCCACCTGCAACATGTAGCGATGATTAATCGACATGCGCAGAACAAAAAACAGAATTGTCTGGTGCTCAATCTTGGAGATTTTCTTCCGTCGGTGAGCTGGCCATGGTGCGCAGCCATTGACGACACGGGGGTGCTTGTTGCAGGCCTGCTTCGCTCCCCATCGGGTCAGAGAGTCATTGGGAACAGAGAATGGCTCACCATGCTTGACATCACCAAGATACTGGCAGAGTTAGTCGATGCAACAGATGTCGAGGTTGCCAGTGAGAGTGTCAGCTTTGACATGGGAGATCCTCTTGTAACCACCGATAATATGCATATGATTGGCTTTAGCGCCGAGTTTGGGTATGACGGCCACCTGGCTGGGAATGAGGTTACAGAGCCTTCTGAGCTGGGAATCTCGCTGCCTTCCGTGAAGGAATGGTTCCAACAGCATGACTGGGCTTCAAAGATTCAGACTATGGAGTGATTTACGTGATGCTGAGGGAATTGGCTTTGTATTAAGTTTACACTGAGCGAAGGCAGCGAAATGGGCTCCTGGAATGAAGAATTTGCAAAGGAGGCATGGCAATACTGAAATTGATTTGGGGGAATGGTCATCTACCATGATGAAGACGATGTTGGGGGATTTTTCGAACTCATATTCACGGCTGTTTTCTAGGTCCGAGCCAGAACGATCAGCCTTGTTTGGGAGGAGGAGCTTTTTAATTGGTAACTTTTATGAATTAAATAACGTTCGGCATGACGAGCGTGATCGATTCTGGGTCTTTTCTTTTCACAATTGCCCCAATTTCTCTGGTAGGCGTTCTAAAATCAATCAACTATTCTTGTAAATATTACTTCACGAAGTCATATACATCAAGGGAACCTCCTCTTGCGTATTGAGCTAGGGTAGGGAGATATATGTCTCAATTGATAGCATCTCACGATATTGGCTTTATCGTAGCTAGATCTCATTCTAATGTGACAGTATAGTTGAATGGTTTGTTGTATAGTGCATACTGAGGCAGCGTTTTGGGGCCAATGTTCCCAGTTCCCAGGCCGTGGTGGTCCCAATCCAGCCTGATAGTTGGATGCTTCCTGGTCGTGAGCTCCCATGGGTGCCTCGAGCGTTCCAGATCATCTATGCCATAGTAAGAGGCGTTGAAGCTGCATCCATCGAGCTGACCAAAATATGCTTTGATGGTGGTTGTGGGACCATCTGTGTTCTTAAAGCAGACCCATCTCACATCAGTCCTGTTACCGCTCTCTTGGGGATACTCGTACTCTGTGGAAATAGAATCGAGAGTCGACTCCCAGTTGCCGATGTGATGCCCGTTCTTACGGTCTCTATACGCCTCACCCGGCCCTCTACCAAACCAGGCTACACTGTCAAAGGAAGGGGAGATATCAAACTCTAGACCGATCCTTGCGAGAGTTTTAGGCGCATTAACTCCAAAAGGAGCCCCAGTCACATTGATAGTCACCCTATCGAGAGAGAATGTATATGTTGTTGTCAGGTTGAAGCCCCATTCCAAAGTCGCAGGGCCAGCCCGAGCGGAAACTTGGATAGTGACATGATGACTACATGTTTCAACTTTGACGTTATTTGTGAATGGCCTGACGTGCCTCAACTGTTTCGCGGCCCATTCTACTCCGTCACCAAGGACATCAGTGTCAGTCATGGCGCGATAGAAACTCAATGTTGGCGGAGATGCGATTAAGCTAGCTCCTCCATCCTTGGTCCAGGATAGCAAGATACCACGGAGATAATCAAACTCCCACGAAGATGCTCCACCTTTGATCTCAAGAATCGAGCCTGAGACCTCTTTCACAATAGGAGATTCAGAAGGGCTGTCAGGGATTTCCGTTGGGGCCTGGAGTCTGAACTGTGCTACGGTAACTCGGTGACCGGCGGCTGCCCAGAGAGTATCATTCTTGAGACTGAAGATAATCTCGAGGTAACACTCCCTGTCATCATGGATAGCGTCAATGCTGATCTCGGCAGTTTCTCCTGGCTTTATCAAGGGCAGATCGATCTTGGATCGTTCGGTGGAGTATCCATCACCAACAATGGACCACTCGCAGTCCAAATTGGAGAGGTTATCAAAGTCGTATCTGTTCACAAAGGAGAAACCTGATTTGGTAGCTGAAATGACATGTACCGGTTCCAAAGCCTTTTTGAGCTCAGAAAGGGCGGGCTTTGGTGTATGGTCGGAGAAGTTGAAGCCATGGATATTATCATGGCCATCATTGATGGGATCATTGAAGTCGCCTCCATATCCATAATACTTCTCGCCAGCTGCATTGGTTGTCTCGATGCCCTGGCTAGCCCATTGCCACACAAAAAGCCCTTGGATTCGCGGGTACTCGTAGATCATGTTGAAGTTCTCCTGGATAGCTCCAGCTCCGTTGCCAATTCCGTAAAGGCACTCGCACAAGATGATTGGCTTCCTTTGTGGAGATTCCCTCTCAAGAGCAATAACTTCCTCCATGGCAGGGTACATCAAGCTATACATGTCTACAACTTCGGCATCACGGTCACCCTCGTAATGGATGGGCCTCGTGTCATCGTAGGCTTTGGCCCAATTGTAGCAGGCAATGTTGTTCTTACCAAAGTAAGACTCATTACCCAAGGACCAGAGGATCACTGATGGATGGTTCTTGTCCCGAATAACCAGCTGCTGCACACGATCCACAAACGATTCTTCCCAGTCAGGGTCATTTGAGATCCATTCGGTTGCGCGACCGCATTCCAGGGAAATAACACCCTTCTTGGACATCCTTCTTTCCTCGTCCGTCAATGCAGCAAGCTCCACGGGTGAGAATCCATGACATTCAAGATCAGCTTCATCCATGATCCAAAAGCCCAACTCATCGGCTAAGTCGTAAAATCGAGGGTCATTAGGATAGTGCGATGTTCTAATGGCGTTGATATTGTGTTTCTTCATTGACAGAAGATCTTGACGCATGAATTCATAAGGGACCGCACGCCCATACTTGGGATGGTGTTCGTGGCGGTTGGTTCCTCTAAAGACAATGCGTCTCCCGTTGACTGTAATGATGCCATCTGTTATTTCCACCTGGCGGAAGCCGACTCTCTGCGCGATTGTATGTTGGCTTTCGTCAATTGTAATGATGGCTTGGTATAGGTACGGAGTCTCGGCTGTCCACTTGTGCGGGTTCTGAATGTCAAGGGTAAAGGTGGTTTCTCCTGTCTTGGGGATTGATTGGGATGTTGTGGCGATCTTCCGGAGTTGTGCATCGTACAAATCTAGACGTACGTTTGTGGCGCCGTTGGTGGTGAGGTCGATAGCGAGGATAGCGTTCTTGTATTCAGCGTCCAAGAGGGTTTTGATCCTCACATCCTCGATGCGGACTTGAGGAAACGCAATCAGGTTCACATCTCTGAAAATACCACTCAGCCACCATTGATCCTATGTTTGAGTCAGCGTCTTAATACATATGAATATACAGGGCCTTAAAGAAAAGGGAAAATTACCTGATCTTCCAGATAGGTACCATTACATCGTTGGTAGACAACAACAGAGAGCTTATTTGATGAGTCAAGTGAGACAAAGTTCGTGATGTCAAATTCTGATGGATTCCTCGCTCCCTGAGAGTATCCAACGAGTTCACTGTTCACGTAAACGTGGAAGGCCGAATCTACACCCTCGAATCGCAGTCGGAGTTGATGTCCTGAAAAGTCGGCCGGAACCTTAAACTCCCGAACGTAAAGACCGGTCTCGTTCTCAAATAGCGGAACGTTGGGCGGGTCTACCGGAAATGGGAGAGCCATGTTGGTGTACTCGGGGCCCTTGCCATAGCCCTGAAGCTGCCACATTCCAGGAACTTCAATATCCTGGTAGTTTGACATGTGCTGCATTTCAGGAGCAGAGATGGATGGCATGTCAAAGGGACATGGAAACACCTGGAATTTCCACGTACCTGACAGGCAGACGGTCAGGGCTCCCTTGTCGTCCAGTGCATCTTGAATAGAAGTGTAATTTTCAAACGAGGATCTTGGAGAGAGTGTATTCCGATGAACTACCTTCAAGTTGTTCCAATCGGGCTTCCCGACCAACGCGGCGAAGTCGAAAATGTTTTCAGATTCCGACGATACCATGCTTGCGTATGGCTTGGGCAGTTTGACCGGCGTTTGCCCTAATTTGGATTGGAAAGGGGCAAGTAACATGAATATTATAGATGAACATTCGATAGAGAGCACTCTTTGGTTGGTGTTGGGCGGCTGTTTAACTGTGTCGACAGCTTGAAGTTAACCGAATATCCGGCTACCAAGACTTGTCGGTCCGTTATGTCGATGGAGGTAGAATGCCTCAGCCTTGAACTTCGTTTGCTATATTAAATTAGCTGGGTTATGTGGGGACATTGTCCACGAGACATGACTCGGAAATGCTTATGCTTGGATTGCCAAGAGATGTCGCTCCGACAGAGTGGATGGCCACCAGGGGTTTTCAGTCAGACGAGGCTCTGGTAGAAGAACCAGGTAGAGGTACAAGACGACTGGGGATCCATCCTAGGCACACACTAACGAATAATGAGGGATTTTGGTCTTGAAAGATGGGCTGTTACATGCTCTAAGCTTCAATGAGGGCCCATCCAGACGAAAGTCACAAGTCATGATGTGGTCAAAGTTTTCATTTCCCCCTGTCGTCACAATCATTATCCCCGCAAACAGCCCTCATGGCCTTAATGTAGCAAGCCCTGGACCCAGTAGTTTGGTCCCCCCTTGTCAGTTTTTTAGTACGTGGAGAACTGAATGGTCCATGGTTCCCCATGGGATAATGCCGGGTCCCCACTGTGTCAATCATCGCATGACTTTGGCAACTTGGAATGACTTAGCTTCATCCATTCGAGCCCGCAGTATCGTGAATAAACTCAAAGAGCGTCGCAAACTTAAATAGCCGAAGTGCTCGGCCTTCTCCTCCTCGCTCTTGTTCTTATCTCTCGCCCTCTTCACATCAGTCTACTTCGACTATTTGTTGCAATTAACGGGCCCAATCTCGAGATTTTCGATCATGTCGAAAGAAGAGAGTACGGCAGATGCCATAGAGCATGGCCGTGACCCAGATACCCAGAGCGTCCATCAAAAGGATGAATTGAAGTACAGGGCCAAGCTGGCCACTGAGAGGGAACATAACCTCTCTCTCAGAAATGCCTTGAACTTGTATCCCAAGGCTATTGCCTTCTCTCTGCTCTTCTCATCTGCTATCATCATGGAGGGCTATGACCTTGCGTTGATTGGTTCTTTCTACGGATACACTGCGTGAGTTCCTAATGACTTCTAAAGTTGTCCCTTTCCTGTCCTAGCTGACCGATTGACATAGCTTTCAAAACAAATTTGGCGACCAGCCTGGTCCAAATGGAGGAAGAGTTGTTTCTGCCGATTGGCAGACATATATTCAGAATTGCGGCATGGTCGGTCAGATCGTTGGCCTCTATATCAATGGTTGGGTCTCGGATCATTTTGGCTACAAGAAGACTATGCTTGGTTCTCAATTTGCCATGATCTGTCTCATCTTCATCCCGTTCTTCGCCCCAAATATTCAAACCATCCTGGCAGGCAACACTCTTCTTGGAATTCCCTGGGGTATCTTCCAGACTTTGACCATCACATATGCCTCTGATATTGCGCCAGTGGTTCTGCGGCCGTACCTCACCACGTATGTCAACATGTGCTGGGTAATTGGTCAGCTCATCGCTGCTGGAGTCCTTCGTGGATTCTTGGGCATGCAGTCTGACTGGTCGTATCGGATTCCATACAGCCTGCAGTGGATCTGGCCTCCCCTGATTATCCTTGGCACATTGTTTGCCCCAGAGTCTCCCTGGTGGCTCGTTCGCAGAGGGCGCCTAGCCGATGCCAAAAAGTCACTCCTGAGCCTTACAAATGCCAAGTCTGATGTCAATTTCGACGTAGATGATCAAATTGCACTCATCAAGGCTACCGATGAGCTTGAAAAGTCCAACGCCGAGGGAACAAATTACTGGGACTGTTTCAAGGGCGTCGACTTGAGACGTACCGAAATTGCCTCCGTCTCTTACCTCGCTCAGGCTTGGTGTGGGACGTCTCTGATGGGGTACTCTGTTCAGTTTTATGAGCGCGCCGGTCTCTCTACCGACAACTCCTTCAATCTTAACATTGGACAGAGTGCCATGGGTCTGGTCGGCGTTGTACTTTCCTGGATTCTCATGGGTAGATTTGGCCGCCGACACATTTACCTCACCGGTCTTGCCACCCTGCTTGTCATCCTCACCATCGCCGGTGGTCTTGGTTTCGCCGACCCATCTCTGGCCGGACCTTCATGGGCCATTGGTTCTCTCCTACTCGTTTACACCCTCGTCTACAACACAATGGTTGGTCCTATCTGCTACTCCCTGGCAGCCGAAATGCCCTCCACTCGACTCAAAATCAAAACCGTCGTCCTGGCAAGAAACTTCTCCAATATTGCCGGTTTCCTCAACAACAGTCTCATGCCCAAAATGCTTGGCGTTAACTCCTGGAACTGGGGCGCCAAGTCTGCTCTATTTTGGGCTGGCTTCTGTCTTGTCATCCTAATTTGGGCGTATTTTAGACTTCCTGAGCCAGCTGGACGGACGTATGGTGAACTCGACGTCCTCTTTCATAACCGCGTTAGTGCCCGTCACTTTGCTAAGACGCGCGTCGACCAGTTTGCAGAAGGCAATGTCCAAATTGAGACTCATCCATAGTCCGAGTCGCGTTTCCATTTCATAATGGTGGATCTTGTTCGCGCCTCCATGAAATTATCCTCCCACACGTGATTCTATCCATCTTGAGCTGTGAACAGCTTATAATTAGTCTCTTTCTAAAACTCGGCTATTGGTTTTAGCACGATCTACTCCGAGTAGCAAACGACAAAGGAATAAATTAGCCTAGTCGTAATACATTCGCAAAATCTAGTATATAGTGTGCATCTCAGAATTGGCATGAAGTATTACAGACCTACGCCTTAGTGAAGCATGTCTAAGCCCCCTCCATAGACTTGAAATGAGCTTCTCTCCTCAGAACTCGCACAAAATATGCGAAATAAATTAGAATTCGACAAACAGAAGTAGAAAGAAAGAAACTGATTGAATAAAAGAGATCAGTTGCTAAGTAACTATCAGAGGTAGTATACCAATATTACGCCTTAGTGGGCCGGAACATCCTGGGTTTTAGAAGCTACGGCTTTGAACCTCTAAAAACGCATTACTTGCAAATGTATCTCTACATTCCTCCGGGCCCACTGTAAGGAAATCCGCAATCTCCGGGTTTTGGAATTGCGGGCATCAGACCTGACAGGCTGACAGGGGGACAAGCATTGGTTGAGGCGGGACACGTTGTTGGCTGATCGCCACTCATGCCAAATATTGTATTTAAACCTAATCATATGTGAACTCTTGCGCCCTGATGATATACTACATCTTCTCTCTGTGTTTCCTTGCCGTTTCTCCAACAAACACACCAGTGGCTATACGAAATGGGTCTCCTTTTGGGAACTCTGAAAGAAAAGCAGGATCCCAAGTGGCATCCACTCCCAAATTACCATCTTAAGGCTTTGAAGGGATGGCTGAATGACCCGTGTGCTCCTGGATATGACGTTAAAAGAGGGACGTATCATTTATTTTACCAGTGTGAGTTTGACCACATTACCATTTACACGCTATGGTAGACTAGCTGATCATATTTCTTAAAGGGAATCCCAAGTCGTGTGAATGGGGTGACATTTGCTGGGGACAATTTATGAGCAACGACGGCCTAACTTGGGAGCATAATGGTTCAGGTCCCGCACTAGAGCGATCGCTTCCTTACGATCACCTGGGCATCTTCACTGGGTGTATGCACCCCACAGGTCCACATGGAGAACCTGGTCAACTCACCGTCTTCTACTCGTCCGTCAAGCACCTTCCAATCCATTGGACTTTGCCGTACGAGCGCAACTGTGCAGGTCTAGCCATGGCCACGTCTGTTGACGGCGGACACACCTGGCTTAAAAGTCCACTGAACCCCATTTTGGAAGGCGAACCAGAAGGTCTTGTTGTCACCGGATTCAGAGATCCATACTTGAGTCAATGGCCTGAAATGGCCTCAACTCTCGGTGAGGATGGAAACAAGCTCTATGGGGTGGTTTCAGGAGGAATTGTGGGCAAGGGCCCTAATGCATTCTTATACTCCGTCTCCCCAAACGACTTGGCTACTTGGGCGTACATCGGAACTCTGACGGATATCCCCATCGGCTTCACTCGCCCTACCCACTGGACTGGTGACTTTGGTTTGAATTGGGAGTGTGTCAATTTCATGTCTATCGGCGACGAAAAGGATCGAGTCCAGGTGTTGACATTTTGCTCGGAAGGAGGTTTCGGTAAAGACTATGTCAAGGGACAAGATGGCGAAAACGGTGCATGGACCCTGTGGATGGCTGGATCGTTGCAAAAAGGGGATTCCGGAGTAACTCTCAAGCATGAATTCAGTGGTTTTTTGGACCATGGAAATCTCTATGCCCCCAATTCCTACAAACATCCCATCTCGGGCGAGCGTATTGTATGGGGCTGGATCAAAGAGGATGAGCTGCCTCTTCCTCGGCGCGAATCCAAGGGCTGGGCGGGATATCTCTCCATTCCACGGGAGGTATTCTTGCTTCGAAGATCACAAGTGATTCGGACAATTAAAACACCCTTGAGGGAGATGCCATCATTGAATGTCTACAGGGAACCCAATGGGACCAATACTGTCCAGACATTGGGCATCCGTCCACTGCCAAGCATCAAGGCCCTTCGAAAATCGAAACCAATCTTCTGGACATTACCATTAGGGACTAAGAATGGAGACTCAAATTTCCTTCGTGCGGTGAAAACTACGAGCTGGGAGATAGAAGCAGTTGTTAGTGTTGGAGCTGGCCTTAAAAAGGTCGGCTTCCACATCAAGCACAACAACGATCATTCACATGGCACGACTGTCATCTTTTCCGCCGAGGATGAAAAGATTACTGTTGACCGGAGTCGATCAAATGATCAAGATGACATTCCAAAAAAGGCCGTCGATGGACCCTTCACACTTTTTGTCCTTTCCGAGCATGAGCTTGAAGTTATAGAGGAATTACACATGCGACTCTTCTGTGATGGGGACGTCCTGGAAGTGTTCGCCAATGATAGATTTGCCCTCTCGACGGTTGTGTATTCAGATACTCAGAGCTGTTGTGGGATTAGTAGCTTTGTAGAAAAAGCTGGTTGTGACGATGCTACATATTTCCGGTCAATCTCCTTGTGGGAAGAGTTAGGCGGTCCCTAGGGGGGACAAACAGCAAACGAATCTAGATAACCTTTCCGTTGTTGTCCCTGATTTAGAATTTTTCAACTGTCACTGCCTAGCATACTTGTTACGGGCTAGAACATTGGGGGTGAACTGGATGTGTCAAATTCTAAGGACCTAGATACTGTTTACCCCATTCGAGTCAACACCCACCGGTGAAAGGTTACGAGCTAGCAGCAAGCCTTCGGCTTTTTCCCTTCTTTCCTGCTTAGCCTAGAATAAAATACCTCTCACCGCCCCTTGTGCGGAGAAAGCCAAGGCAACCCCGTGACAATAAGCGCATTTTGCCACGGGAATAGGCGCCAGCCTCCTAAAACCCTGACTACGTACTGTAAAGTATCGTGGGTAACCTCGGTAAATGAACCCACCAGCAAGTTGCATATTTTTCTAGAATCTGTATTCTAGCTCGAAGATTTGTTGGTTTTCTCTCGGTATAATATAAGATCACCTTTTTCTTGTATTAAATCCATAATCTTTAACTTTTTTTTTGAATTATTTTTAAGAATCTTAGGGTAAAAAACCCCTTCTTTGTCTACCTATTAGTTCAGCTTTACTTATAAAATAAGGATTATAATAGCTTTTCTTAATGTTCTTTGATTATTTTTTATCTAGGGATATAGATATCATTTTAGTATTTTACTACTTCCTCTTTATCGAGATTATCGTTTATCATATTACCTTTTGCTTAAACCCTTACTTTATAATCAAAAGCTATAATATCTACGGACAGTTACTTGATCCACCTGAGCAGCCTGTCTGCTGCGTTGCGTGATACATATCTTCACCTGTCTGTGACTCCACCTCCCGCCCCGCCAATCGAATCCTCCATCTCAAATATCCTCCTTGACATGACAGAAACCTGCCCCTCACCTCACCCTAACGACTTTCTTCCAGCCCTTTTCACAACATAAGGAGAAGCTTCTGACATGAGCCATCCAGACCAGCAGAGTCGGCGAGCCTGTGACAGCTGCAGAATACGTAAAGTCAGATGCGACCACCAGGAGCCCAGATGTTCGCAGTGTGCCCATTTCAACTTGCCATGTGTCACAGCAACGCGCATGAGCGGCCGTAGGAAACCAATTCGCGGTCGTCTTGTCGCTCAAGCCCGTGGCGATGACGATCTCAGCCATTGGGAGACGGGTCCTCAGCCGTTTAATCCGTCAGCTCTACTATTCAGTCCAGGGCAAAATCAATTCCCATCAACGTTGACAGGATCCTTGGATAGAAATGTTGAAGTCGCTCAGCTGAGGAATCTTTTACCGCAATTCGAGATGCTAGTCTATCCTTTTACCCCAATCCTATCCCCTGTTGAGGTCCACAAAGCCATCGACAATATGGCGGATAGCAGTGAGGATACCGCCTTCGTGTACGGTTTTGCCGCCGTCACAACATTCCTAGTTCAAGAGAAATCGACACCATCTAAGCATGTCAGAGAGAAAACGGAGCAACTGATCCAGAGGAGCTTAGAAGCACACAGAAGTATTAGCTTTCAAATCGGTCTTGATGGTCGCATTGCCGAAGACCCACGTGCCACGATCAAGAGGATACTCACCTGCGTGTTTCTCGAGATCTCTATGATGGCCTTTGAGCGCTTTGACTCAAGTTTCTTCATCCTAAGGGAAGCAATATCAATGATTCAAATATTTCAGGTTCGTGGGTTACCGAGCACCGGGCCTGTTCTGGCACAGTATCAGAGGTTATATTGGGAGGCGTACATTCACGAGCGATTTCTAACCTTCAATTCTGGCTTCCCAAACGTCCTTCCACCTCTCAGCACAGGCTTTCCAGAGTCTGACACATCGGTACCTAGGCATATTGAACTCGGCTTCAACCGAATCATCTCATTATTCATGCTCCTTGATGAAGATTTCCTCAGGTTCTGGAGAAGCCAGGCGGAGCCTCAAGGAGAATCGGATCTCACAGCAGACTGGATCGAATATAAACAAAGCCAGCTAGATGAGGATGAAATGTCTACTTTTGAGGAAGATGAGCGGTTGAGAAAGCAAGATCTGCAGGGCCTGAATGAGTTTCAGCACGCCGACATTTATATAACAAGGCTCTGGATACGCACTCTAGTTTGGCAATTAGCGCTCTCTCGAGGTCTACTCCGGTCCTTGCCCCCACAGGATGATCATGCGGGATTGTCCCTACAGTATCCCGCACGTCAAATCTCCGCCCAACTCCGAAACCTCGTCGGTCGCGTTGAGAACTTGGCGAGCATCACCATGCAAGGGAGCGGCATCGCTCATAAGTTGTTCGACATCACGAGTACCATCGCCGACGTGCTGACGGTCTGCTACACGAGAGAGTATGAGCGAGAGAAATGTTTTCAGTTGACTGATTTGGAATTCCTCGTCAACTTTCTCTCGCAGTTTGAGCAGTTACGACAAAATCAAATGGATTATCTTCGTGAGAAGCTTCATGACTTTGGAAAAGGCCCTGCAGCCTGAAAACAACCACTCACTGGACATCATGAGAGATGAACAAATCACTGGTAAGGATACTCTTGGTCTGGTTGGAAATATGTCTTGTAGACGCAACCATGTTCAGCCTTCTGTCCTAGTCTACATAAGCAACCGGGGCTCTGTGGGTGCATATTGTAGAGAATTGCCCGGGAGCCTAGAGATAGCAGAATTCTGATAGAAACGCTCGAGACCCCAAGACTTAACCAGACTAGTGTAACATCCCTCACATATATTGAAATCGGCGCATCCTCCAAGAAATATATACTAAGTTCCCCGATGCCCTACTCGGTACATTGCGGCCTCGTCACAACTGCAGCAACGCCCTTCCAGAAGAGTTCTACATCGCGAGCTCTAACAGCCATATCCATCAAAACCAGGATGGGATATTCCCTTCCATCACTACAGAAATAGAAATGAATAGATGAGTTATCAGCTCAGGGCCATCACTGACCAGATCCATGCCGGTTCAAAACGGGTGTATTGGAGACTTTCAGCGTACTCAAATTCATGCTGCAATGAGGTGAACATGAACCATTCATTGTAGCACATGTCACAAACACCAAAGTCTAGAACGCGATTTCGGGGTCGGTACCGCTTTACGGGGATGATGCCGACCTTGCTAGGCTTGGGATGGGAGCACAAGCTGTATCGAAATTAACCATTCTCAACCGATATATATCATTCACGCCGTTGATAATCTCAACTGATTCCTACAGATGCCCTAGGCAGGTCGGCAAGGTTGGGCGATGAATATTGCTCACTCTGGAACAATTAATCGTTGCTAGCTGATGCTAAGTCGAATAATGTCTAGCCACAACACGGTCGAGACTCGTCTGGTTTGAGGCTTAGCGTGTTGGTATTGATAACAAACGTGTGTTATACGCAACCCATCCATTTTATTTCTGTCAGACTCAACCTAAATCCTGGTGAAAGCTCGGCAGAATAGGCATAAGCTCTCTCATGCATCATTTAACGATCAGCTAAGTTTAGTTAAGTAGTTTACCCAGTGGAAGGCCTAGTATATGAGAATATTTCTTCTTTTTTTCAGTGGCAATAAGTGAGACACGGGGTAGTCATCTCAACAACAATATATGTATTGAATCCTAAGTCTGAAATATATGGATTTCCTGTATATTGTTTTGACATACTCAAGGTTCTTCCAAAGCATTCATCCATTAAAAATTGCGAAACTCAGGGTAAAATGAGTTATGTTGGTAATATTTAGTACTTTATCAATGTACCTCTCAAACGTAGTTAATTTATGACAGCCGGGATATCCAAATCGCACAGAAGGCTGGCTTAAATAAGAAAGCTTGGGGTTATCTTAAGCCTCTTTATAGAGAGGGAAGACTGGAACTTCAAAAGGTGTTAGGCCCCCAGAGTAGAGCCCGGAACAACCCGCCCAGTCTAAAGACTATATTAGTTTCATAGCTCTAAGTTCATGAATTCTAGGGCTATACTCACAAGCGGTGAAAGCTACAATGTATCCAAAAGCGTAACCCGCTTTCATTGTGGCCTGGCTTTGGGTCATAAACCCAACGGCTAGCAAAAGCAAGCAAATGTCAAGGGCAAGAAGAGCAGCTACTAGGATGACAGAGCTACGCATCGCAGCCACCGTGTAGATAACAGTCAAGATAAACCATGCCCAAAGGTATAGTGAGATTGCTTGATTGAAATCGGGACTCATCGTACCCGTATCTACATCGAGGTAGGCAGCTGTGATCCCTGTTGTCGGAAGAAAAATAAGGGCGTAGGAGGTGCTGAAAGCGGCGTAAGAGGAGAAAACCGTGGCACCAAAGGTATTTCCCGCAACAAACTCTATGACTCCGCAGATATATAGAGATATCCCACAGAATCCTATGAGCACTGATATCATGACGTTTGGGATTTGTACACCACGAACTTGGAGACCGAAACTGGAGATGAGAAAGATTCCTATGCATTGGGACTCTTCAGTAAGCTCTGCTGGAACTGGCCCATATCTTCAATCAGGGAGTGTTACCTGTTGCTAGTGCGAGCAAAGCTAATGGGGCAGGATTTGCGAGTCGCCTATGGGTGACAGGGAGAGAGGGTTGACGTCGATCCTCAATGTGACCCCCTGCAGTGTAGGTTTGATTGAGCTTATTGTCATCGGGAGACATTTTGGCGTGGAAGTAAGCAATCTTTTTTTCTTTAGTTTAGTTTGCCACTCATGGAGCCTGAAATCGAACCAGGGCTTGCAAGCCAGTGGCTTTTTATATTCGTCTCGATGGCCACTCTTCCGACCTACTATCTTCAGAGTGACTGTATGCCGACTTTCTCATCACTGTGCAAAGATGTTGGCTCGGATAGCGGGTATGTGATGCCGTGGCGATCGTGGCGCCTTTCTTGGGGATGTCGGAGTGGGGTTGCAGCTCGCAATGCTGGGGCGGAAGCCGGCTGGAGAGCAAGGGTTGCTCCGACTAAAGTTCTGCGCTAGTTTAGTTTCATCATGCAGTGTTAGCAGAACGTGTAAGTATTTAGTGCAGCCGAGAAACTGGGGAAGTAGAGACGCGGGGGTTGATAACGTTGGAGTTTTAGGGACGACACGACGGACGCATGCGCACCTACGTAAAGTTCCAAGCCGTACAATCATCAACAGTGCTCTGAAGTACACGATTAATCTATTCTCCTTATTTGAAGAACTTTGAATCCTAAACAGTATTTTCTAATACATAGATATCGTGTCAGTAGTTAAAGTTCTGCCTAAAAGTGTCTACCATTAGGTGAGCATCCACACATCGATGTCAATATCTACCCCTGAAGGATATGCAGGCTCTCGGGTTACTAATACGATGTTCAGCAATGGATGTGCTAGTCAATTAGGACGAGGACCCCCTTTCCGACAGCGGCTCAGCTCATGGCGCCTGCTAGCCGAGTGTTCAGTCAAATTCTTGCAAGAAGCTAGTTGTGGGCCAATTTCTTCACTAGCGCTCTATTTTGGAATAACCCTTCTGGCCATCATAATCTCAACATTGCTAACCAGTGTAAGGTTTGGTTATTACTCACTCAATAATAATTGGAAAGGAAGGCGTGTAACAGAAGCTATATTAGAAACAGGCCTTCAGACTTAGCAAGACGGAATTGTTGGGTCCAACCAGGGTCTCATTCCATTATTCATAGAAATACAAGGATGCAGCAGCATTGCTTCCACACCGGAAGCATGTTTAGTGATATGTGAGCTACATGCCTAAAGGGGCGCCATAAGAGAATCCGGGGTAGAAGCCAGACTGCGGCGGCTCTTTTTTGTTCCCTTTTCGGGAAATTCCACCGGAATACACCAGTTTCTGAAGGCTTAGTTCCCCGCAAAAAACTAACCCCCGCAATGAAACCCCCCTTCTTGGACCCCATCTACCCCTGAAAAGCGATATATACAGATATAAGTATTTCAAGCCTTTCATCATCGCTATATCTTATACTCATGATCTCAGCTTGATTTGATCAACACATTTTACATATCACATACGCTTTTCCCGTCCAACATGGCTTCTGTCAAAGAGCATCGATTCAACTTTCGAAATTTCCTGATATGCTGGGCCGTATCATTGGGGCAACTTGGCTTTGGGTACCCCTCGTCGTAGGTTTAGGCGATTCAAGTGGGTTTCGACCAGAATCACTGATAGTGAGCAGTATCATCGGTCCCGTGCTTGGTGAACCCTCCTTTCTGCAAGCCATGAGTCTCGTGGATTCATCCGGCATACCATCCGCGAAACAAAACCAACTTATTGGTGCGATCAATGGGGTTTACCAGGTCAATAGCAGGGAACTCTATATTTGTGTCCTAGTTCAGTTGACTAATTATGCGCACACAGGCTGGCGGTTTCATTGGCATTCTCATGACCAGTTGGATACTTGACAAATATGGTCGCAAGATGAGTTCTGTTTACTGCGCTCTTTTAGGTTTACTAGGTGGGAGTATTCTCTGTGGTTCTAAAGATGTTACCATGTTCATTATCGGTCGCTTCTTCGCCGGGGCAGGAGCCTGGGGTTTCTTGGCATGCAGTAAGTATTAACTAGCACACTTTGGTGAACAAGAAGCGCTGATACAGTTGACCGGGCAGCTCCCATTTACACATCCGAGTTGAGCCCTGCAAACCTCCGGGGATTTTTTGTTGGCATGAACGGAGTCAATGTGGCTGTAGGCTACTCCTTCGCCTCTTATATGGGCATGGCCTTTTTCTATGCCAAAGAACCAGCCTTACAGTGGCGAGGACCGCTTGGAATCGCCCTTGTGTGGCCAATTTTGACTCTTGTCATCCTCATGTTTGTACCGGAGTCTCCACGTTGGCTTCTGATGAAAGGTCGTGTCAACGAAGCACGCGACGTCATTTTGAAACTACACACGTCCAAAGACGACCCGGAACAAGTATTCGCACAGGAGGAATTCAACCAAATGCAGGCACAGTCCAACTTGGAAAAGACGCTCGATTCATCGTGGCGGGCGTTGTTTCAGCGCCGCTCATACCGCAAGCGCCTCCTCATTGCTTCAGGCTTCGGATTCATTGGACAAAGCACTGCTGTTCTCGTCATCAATAATTATGGACCAACAATCTACAAAAGCCTCGGTTTTGACACAAAGGACCAACTCGCCCTTCAGTGCGGATCCAACACCACTGCTGCAGTGTTCAACTTCCTAGGTGCTGCTGTCATGGATCGCTTTGGCCGACGGCCCCTTATTCTTATTAGCTTGCTTGGATGCGCTGTGGCTTTGACCATCGAAACAGCTATGGTTGCCTTGTACGCAGATTCAGGCACGAACAAAGCTGGATTATCAGCCGGCGTGTTTGCGCTCTATCTCTTTCCAGCGGTGTATGCTATGGGCATTGATGTTGCCGGCTACACTTTTTTCAGCGAGGTGAGTTGTGTAAACCATTGGTTGCCATGCGCGCTGCTGACCCTACCGATAGTTGTTCCCAAACCATATCCGGGCAAAGGGTGTCTGCGTGGTCATTGCCGTCATTGCTTTA